CCGCGCCATCATCGGCGCCGTCGTTCAACATCAAGGACGTCGTCACTTCGCTCATCTCCCCTTGAGTCTCCCATTCGAACTCACCTGATCATTAGCAAACCAATTAGACCGTTGTTAAACAATCGACACGCTGCCAATTGTTATCCAGTAAGATTCATATTTCTTGCAATATTATTATATATCTTTTTTTAAGACAATTAGCGTTTTCAGTTAAATGAATCACATTATTATGTGACACGACACACTTTTAATTGACTATACTCACTGTCTGAGCTATTCGGCTCTGACTCTTGGACTAGAATTACTCGAGGTATCACTGTTCTCAGATTTTCGGACAAACTATCGTTCTCGTACCATCCAGCCAAATCCATGTCCTTGATCACCCGAGAGGTGCCGCCGGTGTACTGGCACAAAGGACTCTTCTGAAAATGATTACAGCCAAGTTACACAAAGAAATGATCGAAGCGAGCCCAAAGATCACTTTGAACAGAAAAGCCGCTCACAGATTTATCCGGTGATTCCGCAGTAACCACTGCCATTTCCAGGAGATAAATAGCTAGCGCCATAACATGCTCCGATATGTTATGTCCGTTCACAGCCTTGTAGAGTATTATCAGGATCATAGCGTGGAAAACCTTCGAACGCAAGACGATCCGGGGATCGTCGTAGTCCGGCGATACCGGAGCGGGGTGTCTGAACGGTGGCCAGGGCGTTGCGCCGTTCTTCAGCTTGCCCGATTGCTTCACACTGAAATAGAAAGATATCGTTTACCGAACGAACCGCTCACAAGTACGGACAACATTTCGACCGTAAAATACGTACTATTCTGTGAAGCGGTCGATAGATATCTGAAAGTCTCTTCTATGGACCGCTCTTAACAAAACGTGCAAAGGATCGAACAGCTCATCCCACACGCATGGTTTCGGTCCGTACATGCCTTGCTGCATATTGCCGCTTGCCTCGAGATTCGGAGCTCTGTATTGCGCTACCTGCGAGCATTACATTAGAAACAAGAGTTAGAATCCCTAACAATGTATAAAAATTGTAATATGCAACGTTTAGAATGTAGAAAATTCATTCTCTTCAGCAAATGTAAGGGAATATTGGCATACCTCAGCTAGAACAGACTCAAAGTCTCTATTCTGAGTAGTTCCACACCGTTCCGGCATCAGTTCCATCAACTGGCTATGTGTCTTGTCACACATGCATAACAGAGTCACCATTTCCAGGCGAGACATCTCAGGATCCGATAAACCTGCAGTGGAAATGTAAAAACGTCTTCAAAATCGTATTTTTGCTCTAAGATATTTTGGCGACATCTTATGTCCTCCAATCTTATTGTTATAAATGTAATAATCGTATTTATCTTGTTCTGATCACAAGAAACGGGATTAAAATCGGCAAGAAACCCACCGAGATTTGTTCTCACGTTAACCAGTGTGGCTAAGAACGTCAGACAGCTCTCCAACATCGGAGTGTCGTGCTCGCCCTCGAGATACTCGTTTTGCGGAGCGTGATACAAGCACAAACTCATCCATTCCCTCACGTGAAATCTGCATAGGGATTTTTTAATACAATAATTGTATACTTGATCGTATTATTCAATTTAACGTAGACGAGTAAAAGCAGAGGACATACTTTTCAATGACTGTTTTCAGAAAGACGTCCGGTACCAATTTCGTGGCGCAGATTTGTAGCAGATACAGATCCGCGTCCACCATGGAGTTACAGAAGTTGCACTGTATGTATGTCATAGCTTGGCCCTTTATTTGCAGTCCGTTGCGAACCCACAATCCGTTCAAGATTTCATAAAATGCCACCTGAAAGCAAAAAAAATAAGGAAAAGTTAATATTTTATTACATTATAGCAAAATTAAGATATTATGTTGCACAATTTATTAAAGATATTCAGTAACTTGACAGTCTCCTCCGACATTTCGCATATGATTATTTGTGTTTTGCGGTAAGAGTTGTAATAAAATAAAATATAAGCATGGAAAAATATTCAATTATGCATTTGTAGAATATTTATTTAATTTTTATTCTCTGCTGCAGTCGTTGTTGTTATTAAATCGAATTTAAATATCGTTTTTGATGACTGATGCGATTTTTATCTCCTCGTATCATGTAACATGTGGTTTAATGATACAGAAACTTATATAAAAATGCAAACGCATCATACAAACGTTCTGTGTATAAACATATGTGACAGATGTTGAAGTCTACAGCTGATTAACTGACTCAGTTGAATAAAATAATTTATTAAGAGTGTCAAAAATTTGTCTTCCCTAATTCTCATTTTTATTTGCGAATAGATATTATAAACAATAATATAATTCTAGTTCATCCTTATTTACGAATGTTGACAAACATTTCGATCACTGATGCGATCCTTTTTAGCGTCTGCGTTCTCGGTTTTCTACTTAAACTTTATTTCGCATCGTACGTATTTTAGATGATCATTTGTAACAAATCTATTATAATTAACGCAATTAAAACGCATATCGCTGTAATCGCTCTTACTGTATCCGTCCTTTTTAGTTGAATGTTGTTGTATTCCGGTGTTGTTCATTAGATTGTCTATTTCCAAGTCAACTAATTCGTCATTTCAATTTTATTTGGCTATACCTTAATTATTGCTTGGAAACGGATTGCAACAAGTTTGATTTTGTGTTCGATTAACTATTACTTTTTAGCGATAAACAATAGTGCGAATATAATCACGTAACATTACATTTAAGTTGATTCTCTTTAAAATTGCGTTACTTATAATTGTTAAAGACGATCGTCTAAAATACGTACGAGACAAATTTAAAGTTTAGGCCCTACGCGCAATAGAGAAAATATTAGAAATAAAAATAAATATTAAATATTAGAAATAGGAAATTGATATTATTTCTTTTCAAAACAAGAAAATAAAAAATGGATTAATCATGAATTAGAAAATAAGAACTAAAAACAATTAATTCATTCCATTCCCTTGTTTGAAGTAAAATACTTCCAAAAATTGCTCTTCCTAATATTTTCTTTATTGTGCCTTAAAAAACGTATTTTAAAGAAGGTCACATTAGTAACTGAAAAACGTTTGTCAACAAACATAAATAAAACATCTGATAGCAGTCTTGCAGACCACTTTCTCACATAATAAACAAAAAGTTATAACACAAATTAAATATAAATTTGTCGTATATAGTTCTCTTCTTGTTCAATTTTATAAATATTTTAGGATATCTCTCTCAGTTTATATATATATTTCTATTCTTCTTTAAGTATGTCGCTTTTCACGCCAATAATTAAAATTTTACATTACATATTTTTATTAATGCGCCAATAAATTTTGCACTGCCACAATCTATCTATATTTCGTACGTAAGTTTTGAAGTCATGTATTTGACCGAGTTTAGCGGTCTAGTTACAGTATAAACATGTATGTTTTCTACCAAAATCGAGTTGCGCACACATGTGCGCGTATCCATTTCAGTTTCTTTGTACTTTCTCACGATCCGAGTTTTCTACATTTGTTTGTCTCATCCACACTTTCATACCTGCTGCACTTAAAATGAGACGTGCAACCGCACTCGTGTGAAACGAGAAAGGACAAAGTGTGGACAGTGCCGGACAGAGCAACTGAAACGAACAGACCGATCCCATTCAGAACGCCTTCACATCCATGGCCACGGATGTGGCAATACCCTCCCCTACTATTCGCTCGCTCACCGCCGTTCTCAGTCTGTAACGGTCGTTCGAGCATGTTGGAGTGACGTTTAATCAAGCCGTACGAGAATTGTACATTAACCCTGGCGCGTCGCTGACAACCGACGTTAGCGTAGCAACTTTTCTCTCTGCCGAGCGTCACTTCGCGTCGCGTTTAGGCCCAACTCCTTCCCAAATGGCCGAATTCCGAATACTCGCGACTCTACTTCTCGTTCTCGCGTCGACGACGAAGACCAGCTACGGCTTCGACGTCAGCCTGAACGATGCGTTTGATCTGATCAAGCTGGGCACCGAAACCATAAGAGAGGTGTTGGAATCCTACGAGATGATCCGTGCACGTGGTCCAGATGCCCAAGATAGTGACTCTGTGTTTGTAAAGAGGATAGAGAGAGAGTTGCGCCAGCGTATCGATCGTGTGTCGAAGAAGATCGATGTTTATCAGGATCGGATGGAAACGAAGATGGACACGATCCTGACGCAACTGCTACTGCGACTGCCAATGCAACGTAGACTGGACGACAGTCTGAAGGAGCTGGAGCATTACGTCGGCCAGGTGCACGGAATGTACGAAACCTTCGGCAATTACGTCGACAGTCCGGATAAATTCGAAAAGTACACTGTCGTGCAGTTTGCGGAGGCCTGCGTGTCACCCAGATTGGGCGAGCTTCCGGACGTTTTGAAATCGATACACAGACTCATGGTGCCATCCGAGCAGCAGGTGTACAACAGAAGTGTTCTTACACTTTTAGCCAGTCACATGCAGGTAAGTTGCACGGTGTGTGAAAACAGTAGTCGCGACGAAGAGGATGGATAGATTTATTTGACATTCGAAAAGGAATGCGGATGGTAATCAAGGCACTTCATCAATGTGTCAATTCGAAGCTTTGTTTACACTTTTAAGAGATCTACGAGAAAGAGAATAAGAGACACATGGATAGTGCGATGGAATGTTAATCTAAACAAGAACCTGTAGTTGAAGACCATTTTGTTGATATTTGATTTAACTCGTTTTATTTCACTTTTCCAGAGAAGACTAAAGTTTTGTAACTATCAATTAATATTTTTGCATTTTAATTAATTTGAATCTCAAGATAAGCATGAAAAATCACTTGTAAAAGATTTATGGAATGAGACACTTTGTGTTGACACACTGTCATAAATGCAATCGTTTATTGCACTGCATCTGAATCTGAATATCTTAAAGTATAAAAGGTTAAATAATACATAAATTATGCTTATCGATGATTAAAATGTCGAAGACATATGGACTATTATTTAAAACAGGTGCAAAATTATTTATATAATACATTTCTGTTCTATTACGTAAATTACACTCTATATATTCTGTTACTTTATTATTGTATTACATTTTATCATTTATTAATATATTTTTCGATTTATTTTTTTATTTAGAAGTTAAGATAATATTTATTTTATTATTTTTTACTCTACTACTACATAATATATATTTGTTGTATATTGCTTTATTTTATTGCTACGTTTGTTATTTATTATTTTATATTATTGTTTAATCTCTAATTTATTGCTTGTATCTCTTGAGAATTAAAGAGTGACGAACAGTAATTGAGATAACGAGTAGAGATAGTTTATCATATTGTCTAAAACACAAACAGAATAAACAGGAAGAAACGTCATCGGCAATGTCCTCGATTTTGTCTGTGTAAATTTACGTAGAAGAGTTGTATGTCATGTTGCAATACAGAAATTAGTCGACTTTATTCGTCATCATTGCGGAGTCATCAAGTGGAATCGAGCGAAATCTAAAAAATTTCAATTGACAAAGCGCAGAACGCGAGTTTTTCATACGCTAAATTGATGTGCTCGAAGATCCCGTGTTACGAGCAGCATCGTATACGTCTGATAACATCGTAACAGGAACCCTATTGTATCTATTAAACGCGGACGGTGGGCATTAGGTACCGAGAAATGGTATCGCGCTTTGGATCAAGTGACTGCTGTCGAGTCCAATTCACTGTGATTTTATTCGTTGTCTTGAAAAGCACAGAATAATATTGACGGAAATCCGTCATTTTTCGGTATAGCGCATACACCAAATAACACGAATCAGCAAACTGGTGCAAGTCACTCGATTAAAATTGTCGTACCAAAATTGTATAGCACACATGTGTGGTTTGGAATAGCTTTTTGAATGGATTTGAAAAAAATCGTATTTCATATCGAAAAGATTATTCCGATGCACCAAAATATCGGTACTTTTTTATTAATCAACGATCGGAACTGAACTTTTTGCAGGCTAAATTTCATACATTCGCGTTAATGAGTTTCACTAATCTATTACATAAAATTTGTTTTTTAATATATTTCAATATTTTCCTATGCACAATTAGCCATTGTCCGAGTACCCTCTTTGCATTCATTATATCTCGCGTTCTCTGGACATGAATGCAGCTACGAATGTGACGAGAGGAGGGCGCGGGGCATATATACGCGTGAATGTACAGTAGCGGTCAATGAAATGTACTCAGCAGGATTCTTCGAAATAACCTGTCTTTGATAAGTACTGTAAGGGTGGGAAGAATTAAATTAGGTTTATTTGGGTTCAAGTTCACACTTATTTTCAAAAAGTGTCGTGCGGTATTTATAAACGCGAGACACTACCGTGTCTCTTGAAAAAAATGGTAAATCACCGAAAAATGACCGAAAGTGGAAAATCACAAATATCACAAAATATTAGTTATTATTAAAAAATATACGCGTGAATGTACAGTAGCGGTCAATGAAATGTTTATAAAAATGGTAAATCACCGAAAAATGACCGAAAGTGAAAAAATCACGAAAATATCACAAAAATATTAGTTATTATTAAAAAATATTAATAATTGTTATAATTAATTATTTGTTCCTATAATTGTTATACGTGTGAAATACAAATTTATTAAGCAAGTACTGTTTCTATTGTATATTGTCCTATTTTTATAAATATGTAAAAATATATGAAAACGATTCAACTAAAATGTTCTAATCAAAATTATGGGTCAATAATGTCCTTTAATATAAATTTTACGATTTAGTACAATACTTTGCTTCAGAGTTTGAAGAAAACAACAATTTCGGTGAGTGCATTTCATTGACCGCTACTGTAGGTAAGTTTGTTCGCGTCGTATGCTCCAACGTACTCCCACTCGCTCCAATCTATAGTATTACGTTACGTATAGTGTATGTATTATATGTAACACCGCGAGTTCAGGGGGGAACTACGCGGCGAGACACGCGGGGACACGGAGGTGGAGTAGAGGAGACAACTTCAGTCGAGTGTGATCAACCAAACGGTTCGTTACGGCTACCACCCAGTGATACCAATCCTCGCGGTTGATCGGTACAGCAGTAGTGGAACTGTTGTCCACATTCCGCGACCCGTATCGCGACGGAAAGGTGCTTACGCGACAATCTGTCGTCGAAATTCCCTCGCACGACGAAGAAAACGAAACGCTGAGAGAAGCGAATTGAAACGCAAATTAAATTTAAAAAAACATGTTATCATTTGAAACGCGCGCACGCGATGTTAAAAGATTAATAGGTTCTAAATGATATCGGGGAGCTCTTTAAACGATTTTTAAACGTGTTTAATCTCGCCTTTCTATTGTTTTAGTGATTAAAAGGCCTGTGAAAAGGTCCTTAGGCTATCTTTTTTTCTTCTCTGTGTGTGTGTGTTTTTTTCCTTGAACACCACTTCATTACATTCACTGCTCATTCACTGAATAAGAGGCAATTCTTGTATCTCTCGTCGTATAGTGATTGTTGAACGTGAAAATTCGCACACGTCGAGGAATTAACCGTTATAAAACGGTTATAAAGATGCTCAATTGCTTAAAATTTGGATCCTCCAGAGCTTCGCAACTTGTCTCTCTCTTTAGACACTCCAAATTTTATACTACTCGTTTATCAATTAAATGTTTTGCGCTAGATTTTAATAGTTTCGCTATTACTTATTGCTAAAATAAGACGTGAGAAGTGTGTCGGTATAAGAATAGTCTTTAAATATCTTCACATGTCAATGTTTTCAAAAATCTGTTATCTTTAAGCATGTCTCTTCAAGTTCTCTGTCGCTTGGACGATTAGATAAAAGGTGTTATTGAAAAATATTAGTTATAACACTTATCGATAAACTTGTCAATTAGAAGTTTAATGTGAGTTTAATTGATAGCTATTTTAAGATATTGAATTTAAAACTTAGCAATGACGGCAAGTTGCGAGGATCGAAGAGGGACAAGAAGGAAGAAAAAAAGTGTCTACGAAATATTCTACGACATTGCTGCGGTTAACACAGACACGATTATTTAATCGCACTGCTCGACGTAGGAAAACAGTGTCACCCAGCAGTTTCCTAGCCGTTCTAGATTATGCATCATTAACAGCCATCTCCCTCTTCTCTCTCTCTTTCTCTCTCTCGTGTCATGACTCCCTGCGGCCGTAATCACACACATTTTTTCAGATCATCCGGTTTTATATCGCGGATTATCGTCAAGGATACGAAATTGAAATCGCGCAACAATATACACATAAAAATATATCAAATATAATAATAAGAAAAAAGGAGCTTAGAGAACCAACACTAGGTCTTGGTGCGATAAAATCTGAATCTGTATTTAATTATAAAAACACAAATATACATCCAAACGTTTCGGCCTAACATCAAGCCATCTTCACATCAGCCATCAACAAATAAGTTTGAACATGAAAGTACGCTGGTCGTTACAATAAAACTGATGTTGAAACGATGTAAAATATGGAAATTAGAACTAAACGTGATGGTATTCTAATTTCCATATTTTACATCGTTTTAACATCAGTTTTATTGTAACGACCAGCGTACTTTCATGTTTGAACTTATTGACACTGAAGATGGCTTCATGTCAGGCAGAGACGTTTGGATGTATATTTGTGTTTTTATAATTAAATACAGATTCAGATTTTATCGCACCAAGACCTAGCGTTGGCTCTTTAAGCTCCTTTCTTCATATTTGTGATTATTAAGAGCCTTCTTTATTTTATTTTATAATAATAAGAGTTTATTGCGAATATTAATAATTGCAATAGTAACAATGAAACAAATAATAATAATGTAATCAAGCGATGCGACTTGAATACGATTCCGATCTTCGACTTTCGTGTTTGCGGTCTTAGATAGGAGACTCGTCAGGAAGATAAACACAGAAAGAAACTGAAATCCTGCTAACATAAGCGGAATATAAGTGAGTCATCGGCAAGACCCGTGACTCCAAGAATGAGATACTTGACGTGCTTGCTGACGCTGGGAGCGTTGGCTACGACAACCTTCGCGATCAAGAATGACGCGTCCACGGTCGACAGGCTCAGGCAAGCTTTGTTAGACCTGGAAATGGAACTGAAGAAAGAGCTGGCCGACGAACGGAAGTGGACGAACGTCGACTCGCGGGAGAAGTACTTGTATGTGATCGAGACGTACAAAAGATTCGGCAATCGGGTGGACGAGCAGTTTCCCCTGGACCGGCAGGATCACCTGCACTCCCTGGACTCCCTGTGGCTCTGGGCCCGTGCCCAGTCCGAGGCCAAGGGCGTCAACGGCCTCTACGGGATATTCAGACAGATGCAGCGCGAGATCGTCGAGCTGAACGCGCCGATCAATGCTAAGCAGCTGGCGAATTTCGCCGAGACGATCCTGCGCGATCCGAACGCCTCTATTATGAAAGCACTCGATCGAATTGCGAATTTGATCATCAATGAAAAGCTATTCGTCGCGGCTTTTAAGGTACCTAAGATACTCAGCTGCGATCCTATACTCTGAGTCTTTAGAGGATAACATTTTTTCAGGAATATATAAAGTTGAAACAAGGACAGCAAAGAATTCTTGGTCCACACAGGACCGACATGTAAAGTTATTCTTTTTCTAGGAAATGTGATCTTCTCGAACGAACTGAGAGAAGATAAATATTATCGTTTGCTTGACGAGTAGACACTTTTAGGTTTAACGACTCTAACACTCAAAAAAATGATCTTGCAATAATAGCTAAAATTTTCTAGGTGTAAAAAATTAACTAAAACAGATAAATGATTAGCAACTGTTGTGATATTGCATATGTAATTACTTAAGTTAATTACTTCAGTTTAGATGATAGAAACAGAATATATATCTGTATTGTTTGTGAACTTTAAAAAGAAAGGTTCTCTAAAGCGCCTATCTATATAAGATCAATCACGTGTTAGATCATGCAATGAATAACATTTAGCAATGCTACCTACATTTTTCAGAAGCTATTGCTAGAACATTACTGCTATAAATTCTATATGTGACAAACAATGTTTTCACAGACACGAAAAATAGCGATACATTCTTGTTGCGATATCTAGAAATCTAACTACATCAGCGAAATATTTTTTTGAGTGAAGCGATTTTTCATTTAAGCATGGAAGACTGAAGGAGATTTATAATACTTGCTGAGAGATTAAGTTTTACAGATGTTTCTCGATCCACACAACTGTTTTGGAAATATCTGCAGAGCATTCTTGTATGTGCAGGAATCAGCGTACCAAATGTGCAATGAGATGCAATCGCCGCAGCAACTGCTGTACAATCTCTACAATACTGTGGCGTTGACGGAGATCAAGGGTCACATTATGATTCAATTCTCCTACGTGTTGCTTCGTTTGTACAACGAAGGTACCTAGCACCGACCATTACGTTTAAATGTATTGCGTCCTATATATAGCGTTCTCGATGTCGCACGATACACAGGATAATTAAGACCAATATTCACGAGTTTATATTCCCCTTGAAATACATTTGTGCGTGCAACTAGATATCGCGAATCAAAAGCTAAACATAAAATGAGAAACTCGATAATCGCAAAAAATGTAGCAATTATATAAATTACAAAGATAATTCTGAGAGTATTGGTCTTCGCACTAGATCGTGCGAAGTGAAGAAAGCTATTGAAAAAGTGATCACTGACGTGAATCTAATCTTGAATTTAAAACAGGTAATAACTTCAGCGAGGAGATCCAAACTCTGAATAATCAATATGCGACCAGGACATCCGAAACTTTGAGAGCCGTGAAAACCGCGATGGCCTTTGCCCCGAGAGATCTTTGGAGATGTGATCCGAGTGTGCACAAATTAGGTAAAGTCTGATAGCTAGAAGTTGTGAGTAATTTACATCCGTGTAGATCTCATGCGCACGTTTGTCGATTTATTTAGATGAAACCTATACCGAATTGAAGCAGCTGTTCCAAGGATACATCGTGAACGAGGTGGATTTGAATCCAGACGCCACATGCAAAGAGAACTGCGCTTATTACGGATACAGCAAGGTGTACGGTTGCTACCAAAATCAGTTTTGTTCACAGCAGCGTCGATGCAACGGGAAGATATTGAATTGCGAGTACATCGACTCCGACATGTGGATCTGCCCTTCGGTAAATATCTTTAATTCTAGAATACGAGAATGAGCGAGCGCTAAGACGACTGAACGATCAAACGATGCGAAAAGATTCCGGTAGAGTTACGGAAGAGTTGTAGAATAATTAATTGCGGTTTAAAAATTAGAAATGGAAAAAGTGAAATAGATAACACGATGCGATATGATCTCCCATTTAGATTAAATCACACTTTTCAGGATAAAAGCAGCAACAGAAGATACGAATATATTCAATACGAGAACAGCCTTGTTTACGGGAACAAAAACACATGTCGCAGACAAACGACCAAGGTTGACAGTTGGTGGCGATGGCTCTTCTGGCATTGCAGCTACTGTTTTTGCTACTGCGACGATCACAATGCAAGTTCCGATCGGTATATCAGTCTCCGATCCGTAACATCCGATGTCTCGAATAACAAGTATGAAATTACAATCAATAATTTGTGCGAAATCTAATCGAAAAAGCAGCTGAAGACATAACATTTGCATATTTGCAGAGTCATAACCGGAATAAGATTGCAGAAGGTAGACCAGGTTATTCACATACAGATTCAGGAAGGTCAGTTACTGCCACGTGGTGCAATCAACACGTCTACAATCGAGTGGCAACCAATCGATGACTTTTCGGTTATGGACAGTAACGTTAAAAGCGGCATTGATTACCATAAACTCGTGTGGGAAAGACGCGCTTTGGATCTCGACGACCTGACGTCGCCGCAGGATCATCTTTTAACAGGTGAGTCGAAATCAAATTTAGGTATAAACTTTGTGCGATGCACGTTCCCGAAATATATCACGACTGATATAACATACAATCGTTGAAATGATAAAATTTGTCCCAGGCATTCGATTCCGAATGGTCGGCAGCCGGTTAAATTTGGAAATAATGGTGACTCCATTCAACTTTACATCCGGATTATTAACCGAGCCAAAAATAAAGAGTTTTTGGCACAGCAACGACATTACCGACAGGTGATACTTTCTTCCTCCCTTTTTTTTTCTAGCTTCAATGTTAAGATTAATGAATATGATATCAACTCTTCTCGTAGGACTATCAATTGACACGATTTGCTTTCAGGACTGAGCTGACATTCACCGAGCCTGATATACCGATTCGCGATCCTGTGCAGAACGTACCGGACTCCGCCGTGAATCAATATTTGAATTTCGCACCGAGTGATCGACGCAAGGACGCCGCGCAGAGCACGATTCCCTTCTTGGACGTTCAACCGATCGTGCCGAACCCGCCGGTGCCGATCGCGGGCGCCGGCGTTTTTCACAAGGGTCGCAAGGGTTCGGGCGGATTCGTTACCCTAAAACTGATCACTTACGATTTCGCACCGCATTTGCAAATCGAAGTACCGCCGGCACCGGCGGTTCTCGAGACCGTGAACGAGATAAAAGTCGCGTAGAGTTTTTAACATCCTTTATAGTTTGTCGAAATAATGATCGAAGAACCTGTGATTTATCAAGAACCTCAATGTAATATGAGGTGACGTATCGATCAAATCGTTGCATGCAAAATGTCAAGTTTCCGAAAATTTCACAGAACATTTTAATAAAATCATTATAAATAACGCGAGAAATGGAATTTAATATCCGGATTGAAGATGAAAATAATGATATCATTTAATTTTTAATTCTTAATATCTTCAAATGTCCTATATTTTAATTGAAATACAATTGTGAAAAGATTTTCACAAAGATACAATACTGATATCTTTTTAATTATAGTTTTTCCACATTATGTTTTCTCTGAAGTCGTTCGAAAATCCTTTGCGCGAGATCGACATTTTATATGCAACTATGAACTAATGTTTAAGTTTCATGTACTCTTCGTGATTAAGTAAAGATTTTTCACTAAATGTGTTATACTCATTAATAAACTCATTATTTGCCAGAGACGAGATGTCAAATCGTTAATTAGATTTATGTAAATGTGAAATATATAACTAAAGTTTAAAATATAAGTTTCGAAATTTTTTCAGTTTCTCAGTGAATCTTTAAGATTTGCAATATTTTAAAAATTATATTGTGAAATTAACGACGTGTAAACTGCTTCATCAACACACAAGTTCATTATTATTATGTTTCACGTCAGATTTAAGTTTTATATTAGTTTATGCAATAAGAACAAAATATTTATTTATGATTAAGATTAGAAGCAGAATACTAGCGCGATAATTTTGTCCTCATATTATAAGTTTATGTAACATTGCTATCTTTTGTAAACTGTGTCTTAGTTAACTTAGAACTCGATAGGCAATGTTATTTAAAATTTTGTAGCCAACTTTACAATATCTTTATATAAATAATAAATCTTTCTTTTTATCTTTCGTTGCGATTATAAGTGCATAAAATCTTCCAAAATAAATTATCACAACCACACACACGTGTGTAAAAGATACATAAGTGCGTACTCACCTGCACTCGCAGTGGATGCATCATGAGGAGGTGCAACATGTCTGTGGGAGGCAGCAGTTCGCGCAGAGTCACTCCTTGTTGTCTGATAGCCTGACACATAAACACCGCGAGATATCGATGGAGTGGCAGATGAAACGACACTTGCAAACTGTCATTCTGAAAGAGAGCAACAAACGTATAGATATTTCCACGATGCAATGTGTGCGTGAAAAATATAAAAAGACACTCACTACATTCGGATGCGTGTAGTTCACCGCGTCGAGCCAATCTTGCAGAGCAGTGAGGCAGAATGTGAGCACGCGTCGACTGAGCGTCGCGCTCTCACGTCCGCGAAGATGCGACACTAGAGCCCACATCGGATATGCACTGGCTTCCAGCTCGGCACTGAACGCTGCGTAATAAGTATTGGGTTCGAATTCGACGTGCTGAGTCATCTCTCTCTGATTGACGTTCATTCCTTGAAACATGGAAAGGAAGTCGAACCACATCTCCAAGAGAGTGTTGTCGCTCATGAATCTGACGGCGACTGGTTTGTGTGAGAGCACATTGTTCAAATCGGAAACCAACGGCCAGTAACAGTGCTCCTTCATCACCTGACGTCCGCAATCCACGACGTAGTGGAAATTTTTATCCGGATCTGAAATATCGATTAGAAATATCTGTATTTTCAATTTTCCTATTTCGATTTTTAAACACACACTTCTCTCTCTCATACTCACTCATTCACTCATTTATTACAGAACTCATACGTACCATGCAAAGTGTTTTGAATGAGTATTTTGCTCATCATATATTTTAAGCTGACAACCATAACGTGTAATAATTTTAGCTGATCGACCATTCTCAACGCTAGCTTTTCGTTGCTAAACAGCTGAAAAGTTTCAAATTGGAAATTAATTATGAAAAATATTTTTAAAAATACATTATAGATAAAGATCTTATTATCGTTCAGAGATTATGCTTTTCGAAAAATAAAAAAAATAAATATACATATGTTACAATTGTAGTTTTAAGAAAAATAAGTAGCTTTTAGATTATTTATAATATTGTATCATTCAGACGATGAGATAATTACCTGTACGCTAACGTGCACTACTCTATTACTTAACGTATCAGGATCTGTGGAACGTTCCAGCATCATCGAAATTCTGCTGTAGTGTAGAACAAAAGCGCGTGTCAAAGCTTCCTTATAGTCGGGATCCGGTAACATGTTCAAAAGCAGACAGACTAATTTCTGTGGAAACTCATAGGCAACAGTCCAGAACATTAGTTCTTCCAAAAATGTAGTATGCTCCAAATGCTCTTGAAGCGATACGCATTCTGAAATAAAGCAAATCGTGCCGATAATGTCGTTGCACCAAACACATAAATTCTTCTTTTAATACTAGAAATTATTAAAATTATCGTACAAATTGTCTCTATTACAATACATAGTAATTACACTGTTTACCTTTATACTCTTCAGGAGGCTCCGGATTTGGTAGTGATTTCACGGCATGCTGGTATATTTTATTACTATCTTGACAATAGCTGTCGTATTCCGACTGCCCGGTTAAGACAGAAGGATCCATGAGACCTCGATATTTTTGCGGATTTGTTAAAGCTGACGTCATAACATGCCTCATTAAAGCGCCCATATTGTTCAAGTCAAGTAGCATCGATAGGTATGCGTCTGCCTCGTGTATAGCACTTCTAAAATCTGGTACACCCATTTTACTGAAACGTAAAACATTTCTAAATTATTATATTATCGTTTAATGCATTATTAAGATTTGATTCCTCTTTCTCAATTATTATTGTTCGCACATTTAAATTGAAGACCTTTGTATAAAAGATAATTCAAAGTCAACAATAATTTATAGACATATTCAACAATTTATAGTTGTATTCTACATATTTTAGAAGAAAAGAGTTATAATAAACATGGACAAACATTTGGTTTCTTTTCAAAAATACATATAAACTCCAATGAAACATACATCTGTTTAAATTACGTAGCAGAAAATAGATAAGATATAATCTTCTTTCATATTAATTTCATCACTTCATATGTAAAATACAATACAAAGACTCACTTTTTACTACAAACGTGCTCACGATATAATATTAATAATTAGCACAAAATTCAACATACCAATTTTCACGTAAATGTTGTATAAGTCGAAGAATAATTCTGGGCATCATCGCCTCGGCCACACACATCAGATCTGATGGCGCAACTAATTTATTTACAGCAGCCTTTGGCCCGTGCCTATCACAAAATCTAGAATACAAAAGACATGTCAGTAACCAATAAGAAACTTTCAAAATATGTTTTGCAAAGTTTATAAGGAAATCTATGGGATCTGTGTAAAGATATGCTAAGGTAGTTTTCCACCAAGAGACACAAACGACACAAAAGTATTATTCTCTCTGTTGCTCATTGAATATCGAACAAAAACAGAGTGATACTGTCGATTTGTGTCAACTTGTGTCCTTTGCTGGAAAACATACTAAGAAATCATCCATGAGATACTTCACATGAGAGAGAAAGAGAACTAAGGAAGGAATTAATATTTCAAGAAATATGAAATGTTTAAGAAGTCAATAACTTCATATATCCCATAGATCTCCATTATGCATATATATAATGCGAGAAATGTGTTTAATAATCAATTTACCCAGTCTCCTTCATCACAGATGTGTCACCGCAGTCGCATGCACCACCTGCTTGACTTAGAAACATGTTGAAGTCATGACGATAGTGATTTCCTTTCTTGAAACACTCGGTGCATAAAGACATGCAAGGAGATATGCCGCATGTACGGCAACGATAAGCTACGAAGTTTGGTGTCCACACTAGACCGCAGGTGGTAGCATTATCGTACGTGCGTACTGAAAAAGGTGTGACATTCAATGAATAAAACTTGCATAATCAATTTATAATCCTCAAATTATAAATTATATGTATTCACTATTTTATTAAAGCAAACATAAATAATGTTAAAATAGAAATAATATTTTGCTTCAAAGATATTTAAAGTTATAATTAAAAAATTCTTATTTTACAATATTCATTTAATAATTCAACATAAAAGAACAAAATATATGTAATGACTGAACAATGTTCTGATTACATTTACTCTCATAACACATTTTTATTATGTGTTATTTATTGTTTATATTACACAAACAACAAACACACATGTCATTATTTATGTAATATATTTATAAAAACTAATATTTTATCCATAAAATTGTCATTATATAAACATTTGGAATAGAAATTCAATGAAAATCTTGTAACATAAGTTAGGCTAGTTTTACTTCTCTCAACTATAGTTACAACTCTATACTTGTCTTTTAACAACTATATAGTTATCTGAAAAATTCTGTGCTGCCAAATACGCAAATTATGTTTATTTATACCCGCACATCGTTTATGAACTATGACTTGTTATATATATATATATATAATAAATGCTTATCGTAAGAAGGAATGTAAATATCTCATAATTCAATAGCAATTTTTGATAATACTTAAATAATTTTGTTACAGAAAACAAATTATTTACCTGTTTAACCACAAAATTAACTTTGTTTATAAACTTTTGTAGCTAGATGCTAGGTGTGAATTTTGGCATTTTGAATTGTGAATAACGGCATTTTGAATAAAATACTAATAATATTTTAAATAAAATGCTAGTACTCAAATAACTATTATAATAACAATTATATATATTTTTTGTATATTAATGCTATAAATAAAGTTTATATTTAATGTTTAAGTATCTAACAGAAATTCGTAACAATAATTTATCAGAGACAGCATTTACTGTAAAAACACAATCTTGTACTATCAAACATCTTGTTGACAATCCCGTTATTAATTAAAACAATAAATATAATGATCATAAAAAATCAAAATAAACAAACATTTTCCATAAAATGCTGCTAATCTTTTCCGTAATATTAGTAAACTAGAAAGCCGTTTTTATTGTAATGATTTCAATAACTCGTATCATTTAATAATTTAAAGAATTTTTCACAAAGCTCTATTGCTTTTGCAAGTCACACGTCATCCTGCTAGATACAACGAAAAAGATAGAATTTTATCTTCTTATCGAAGATATCAACCTGTAATAGCAAATTCATCAGGTGTGCGACCACCAGCCATTAGCCACTTGCACCAGTCGATGGTTTCCCAGTCGTCGATGGGCTTACTGGGGTTCAACAAGACGTCCAGTAACTCGTTGAGATAAGGTGGGCAGCCACCGGTGTCTCGGCCGGTGGCCAGGCTGATATACGCGGCCGCCCCGCGCTTGCCCTTGCCCATCAGCACCTGCACATCGGGCGATGTGCTGCTGGAGGTAGAGGCCATCCTGAGCCTGGTCGTCTACCTTACAAAAGGATGTCGTCGTCGTCGTCGCCGTCGCCGTCGTCGTCGTCGTCGTCGTCGTCGTCGTTGTCGTCGTTGTCGTCGTATTCACTTTCCTCAAACACACTTAGATTTTTATTTATTTTCGGAACGGAGAGGGCCTGTAAACCAGGACCGAAAGTTCGACCAATGGCCCCATATCAGCAACGAAAGAAGGCGTTTCCTCTCTTCGATCCGGAAAATATTGTCGTCGCTGTCTTTGTGATCGTGGCTGGCAGCATAACGAAGTCGGGGTGACTTCGGACGAACTCTGCGTTAATGCAAATGTTACGGCGCTGCGTTGTTACCGTATGCGGTAACCACGACAGCTAAACGCAGCTTGATGTCTTCGTGTCTCCAGTTGCGTCTTCTCCGGAGATGAGGTACGGCGAGCCACGGCGAACACCGTACCCAAACGGATCGCGCCAGTAGGCGAAATTACGTCCGTGCGACGACGACACGATACACGGCACGATACTGTACGATACAACACGACACGACACGACACGATACGACACGATGATAGGACACGACACGATATGGATATACGAATACGGTACGATGTGAGGACGGACCACGTATGATAGATCAATGCTCAACGATGGTGAACCAATCGATCGACCAACTCGCCGAAGATAGAGTCGAGAAAACTGACATCTAAAACTGATATGAGGTCAGACAACCCCACTGGCGCGTCCACTTGCTGCTCGCTCCTCGCTCGGCGATCGCTAACCAATCTGTTTTATCGACACGGCAAAATGAGATAGAGTAATGGGATATAGAGACCCTAGAAGTTACTCTCCAAAGAAATGCCGACATAAGCGCACTCTGAAATAAGAGGTATGTTCTTTCACAAGTTTACATTTTCAATCTCTAGCTCTAGATTATATTTTAAAACTATTGTTATATTTAATTTATATAAAAAACCGTTAAAAATTATAAGAAAGAACAAATAAGTTTCTTAATTAATTAAAAATAATGTCGTTTATTGAAAATTGCATTTGTTACATGGAAACGGATCTTGCAGGTACAGTAATATTTTTTTCAAAGCGATAGAAGTGAAAGTAGCGCCTCTGTCGGAATAGATGTAAAACACGGTATTCTTATTTTTATATATCTTGTTTCCAATGGAAAGATAAATACAAAATAATTATGACATTCGTATTCAACAGAATTAGGCGCAACTCTCTACAGCAATTTTTTTGAAAAATGATTAAAAAATAATTATTTATTTTACAATAGGCAAAATGTGGGTGTAGTTAGATGACAGCCTAAACTTTTATTTTTTATAAATTTTATAGGACGAAATTGCAAAATTGACTCTGTACAAGCAATCTAGTAAATCACTAGAAATGCTGTGTGTCGTATGGTGCATTTTTATAGTTTACTAAGGCTGTGTTCCGAAATTCACTACCAGTACTAAAAATCTATAGTTTACGTCACGTATGTTGTAGATTCTTAGTACTGGCAGTAAATTTCGGAACGCAGTCTAGATCGTTTGCGAGTTGCTGCAACAAATTGCATAGGGCGGATTTATAGTCCGTTCTTATATTTAATAGCGTTTTCGATTATACGGATTTTGATCTACTCAAGGTTAATTAATGACGTCATTGCATTATCTCCATCAATAAAAAACATGAATTTATAGTAAAATAATGTTTGTCAACGGGAGTTTTTCAGTTTCTCCGCATGAAGTCGCTAAAATCAGTTCGCACTCGGACCGTCACTCTTGTCGACCCTTAAGGTATGCATTACTACAAAGTTTTAACTAAGCGCATGCGCAATTCGATCTGTCTAATAACCGCTAAGAACACTGTCCTCACGTTTCCTTTTCACGTTTCGGTTACTCGAACCTGTGTGGTGCTGTGGTGAATAAATTACAAATCGCAGGTAATCTTTCGTAATAAAACTCATCGAACTGATATCGACGCAGTAAATAGTATATTATATCTATCCGTGTATTTTGATTATCATATTTTACAATTAAACGATGTGTTTTGCGAAGTATGGAGATGCAAAGTCGATGCAATTGTTTATCGCAGCTTTCCATTGACATAAATCATAAGAAGTATACCGCTTGAACAAAAGCATAACACTAACAACCACGGGATTCTTTTTTTAGAATCAGCCAGAATCATATTTTTCATGTGGTGCGCTGTAATTAATTTACAATTGCTCATTATACTTCACAAAAATTAGATAAGAGGTTAGGCTTGCTGTAGGGAAACGTGAAAAGAATGCATGTCATGAAAAAAATAATGCTTAGATTCATGTAGTAAACGTATTTATTATTTAGATGTGTAATAACGAAAACTTATAAATATTTTTTCAATTTATTAAGCATTAGAATTTTTGTATATCAGTGAGATGAAATGGTTGCATTGATTTTCTAATGTTTACTATTTTTTATTTTTAGCCATGGTGCGTATGAACGTTCTCAGTGACGCCCTCAAATCCATCAACAATGCTGAAAAGCGTGGTAAACGGCAGGTATTGTTGAGACCATGCTCTAAAGTAATTGTCAAGTTTTTGACAGTTATGATGAAACATGGTGAGTGAATACAACATGATTTGTATTATTCATGATGTATATTTTATTTTATATGTGTTTATATTGTGTATGTATGTGTGTATGTAATTAATTTCAAATTTTTAAAGATTTCTAATGCAATTTTGTGTACAGGATATATTGGAGAATTTGAAATTGTGGACGACCATCGTAGTGGAAAAGTAGTAGTAAACCTTACTGGAAGGTTAAACAAATGCGGTGTCATCTCACCTAGATTTGATGTACCTATTAACGATATCGAGAAGTGGACCAACAATCTTTTGCCTTCTCGACAGTTTGGGTAAGCATTTGTCTATATATTTATAATGAAAGAATGTTATCTTTATAAATATTAAACAATATTAGTAAATTTGCTTTATGAAATAAGCTATATATCATTTTAATTGACAATAAATGGAGAAAACATATTACTCAAATATAAATAATACATAATGCTACACTCCAAGCATTGTGATGTATACTCTGTATGTCGTTTTAATAGCGCTGAAATGTAAAGGGATAATAATGATAAAAATAATGAACGAGAATAATTAAATTAGATAATATAATTACAAAATATATAAGCTGAAGTTAAATAGATTATAATGCATATTGAATTTACATTTTAGATATGTTGTATTAACTACTAGCGGAGGAATCATGGATCATGAGGAGGCGAGGAGAAAACATCTGGGAGGAAAAATACTGGGATTTTTCTTTTAATTTTGTATTTAATTAAATAAAGATGTAACAACACACAAACGTTGAAGCAACTTTCATATTTAAAAACCAATTGTTTCTAATTTTTATTTCTTAATTTTATAATACAGTGTGATTCGAAACATGTATAAAAAAATTTGACATTTAATTGTTTAGGACATTTTAAGTAAAAATATCTTTATAGGAGTATAGATCCTATTTTCAATATTTATGTAATTACAGTTTTTAAATTTTACAGCTGTATAGTACGTGCCAAAACTTCAATTTGTCACGCACACAATAATATTAACGTTGTAAAAAATTTGAGAAATTTTTTAAGTAAGCATAACATTAAAATGATAATACAATTTTCTACCTGCTTAAAACATTTTAAGATAACGTTAATCATGAGATCGAGGAATTTTTAAATAAGCATAACATTAAAATAATAAAATGATACAATCTTCTACATGTTTGTAATATTTAAAGAGTATTGTAGAGTATTGAAAATAGGATGTTTGGATTGATGTTGACTTGTACTACTTGTTCGTTTCGTGGAAATAATTTTGTTAAAATCGAGCAAGTAGTATCAAACACAATCAATACGAGTTTAAATGTAGCACAATATAGAAGGGGGTGGGTGTTTGGGCATCAGACTCACGAGATGGCATTGAAAACGGTATATGGACAAATATATTATGCTTTCATGCGACATTCCACTCTATATAATCCTCTTTCTTATTTCTTTGTTACAATTGTCATATTTACATTTTTGTATTGTCAAGACTTGTTTAGTAATATAATTCTTTTCGTATAATTGTTGTTTGTAACAGTGTAGTTGGAAGTATGGCTAAAACTAAAACAATTAGCAAAGGATGTCCCAAATGCGAACAACAGGTATTTAGACAAAACCTCGTCAAGCTTTGTGTACATTTATACTTATTTATTATATCTCTTGTACGTGTATATATGTGTATTAAAAATGTGTAAAGAGTATTAATTTTGAATTTATCGTGAATGATTATCCTCTACTTCCTAAAAAACCAATTTTAGCTAAGCAAATTTAATATTAAGAGATAAATAAAAATGTGGAGTAAATAATAGCCCACAATTCTTTGTAGGCAAATATATTTTATGTGGGCGTAATTCCTTCGCATATTCATAGGATTTTATCTATTGATTGAATGTAAAAGGAGCACTTAATAAATAATTTATACAATATATAATATATTTATTAAACACATTAAATAATTTATATATTAATATATTTAACAATTTATATATTTATTTATAATACATTATTTTAAGGATTTTATCATTTATTAATAATATATTGTAGAAATTTTTTATGGTTTAGAAAATAAAATATTTATTTGTATTAATATATATAAAAAAATTGCTTAAATCGATATATCTAAATTATATAAAGTCAGATCAAGATTACTATTAATAAATTTAATCATTTTTTTTTTATAATAAGGTACCAGTTGCTTGTAAAGCCTGTCCATGCGGACATTCCTTTTTCAATGCTCGACGTAATTCAATTAAAAGTCCACCCAGTCCTGATGGTGGAGTGATGAAGACCAGGAGGACAAATCGTATTAAACGGGAGAAGCCGAATTATTACGATGCTTTAGAATATGACAAACAAACAAAAAAAAGTGCTAAGGTAGAACATTTATATTAGAAATTATTAAAAAAATAATAATATTAACTCTTAATCTATGTTGCAAATTTAGTAGACTGGTTTTTAATTAATATTATTAATAATATTGTTACATAGAATGTAGCATTTTTAGTAAGTATTTTACGCTCACAAAAGTAATAGTTACTTTATTATTACAGATTAGACGAACGACAGATACTGTAGAGGATATTGATTGTCGCCAGTTGAACAAGAAAAAGAAGAGGAAAGGAAAGGGAAAGGGCAAAAGTGGCAGCAATAGCGGTATGGGCGATGATGATGATGAAATGGATGGTATTAATGGATTGTCTCCAGAAAAGCAGCTCACGTGTTCGCTCATATTGCAAGAACTGAATAATAAGATGAGAGTGGTAGCTTGGAAGCCTACATGAAGTCTACAATAAGTAGAGACATGCGTATTCTGTTTAATGCTCTGGACGATTATCCAACATGATTACTTTATGTGCAGTGGCAAAGTGCAAGAGAAACAAAGTTGGTTAAAGTAAACAGTATGGTGCATCTTTCAGATTGATTTCCCACAGCATCAGAAATAGATATCATTGAGATCACATCAATTTCAAATCCTGTATGAAAATAATTGACTGCCATAAAAATCTCTGACTTATATATATCGCGATATTATTGTGAGTTATTCTTTATTGTGATTATTTTGAAAATTATGAAAAAGTTGTATTGAGGCTTGTGTACATATAGATTTGCAATTCTAGGTTATTTTGTTTCTTATTTGAATACATGTATTATACATATTCGTGTCTCACATATGTGATTATTTAATATCTAATCTACAGAATTATATGTTTGATATGAAGATATATCGAATTGTCATATTATTTATAATGATGGATTTATAATTGAAATGTCACATTTAGCGCTTAATATGGAATATAAATACAGACTTTACACTAACGGACAAAATTTTCTTAAATAATTTATGATAATCATAATTGTCTATCTAAAAATTAAAATTATATAAGAATCAAAAACTTAATATATTCTTTATTTAAATACTTAAATTTGCGAAAAATTTATATATTTTTGATATTTACATTATTTATTCACAAATACTGCGTGTATTTATTCGAAATATCGATTTACTAATCTATATGTATCGATCACCTCTTGGTTTGTACATGTATATTGAAAATATTTGCACATAGTATAACAGCACATAATAAAAATAAAAATAATAATAAAAATAAAGTAAACTTTAAAAGCTTTTTAAAATTATTTAATCTCCAATTTAAATTATTTAAATTATTTAATTGCAAGTTTTTATCTAATGAGGGAGATTCTTTCGTAATACAGGAAATGTGACTCGACAAGTATAAAATTCTTTTTTGTGACAACCATGATTTATTTATTTTCCTATTACATATTAGATCACTTCATTGTCAACGATCACATTTCCAAAATAATTTATTCTTTCATAGTAGTATCCCCTTGATGATTGTTATTCTCGGCGTTTACGGGCAGCTTTGTTGCTGTTGGGTTTGTTTGGTTCTCATTGATAACCAAAAGCAGAGGTAAACCTCCTATGACCATGCACGTGCCCATGCACAAGAAACACACGGTGTAACTTCCGGTTACATCGCGCAGATAACCTGAAACAATGTCACGTGATTAATTAAAATTAAACAAGGAATAATATTTTCTACACAATGCTTGATTGAGCAATAATGAAAAAAACTGTTTATTCTCAGTCATTCATAATTTTAATAAAATTTACTTTGAAAAAAGTCAATTCTAAATTGATACAAGAATATGATTGTAAGCATTTGAAATCTAACGTCATTCCATCTTATTAAGATAAAAAATATATTATGCTTATAAAATATAGTTTAAATAATCTAAAAAGTATTTACGAGAATATTTACTGAGAAAAAGTATAAGCAATAACTTTCCAAACAATCTTGAAGTAATTAAAAAATTATTGAAGGGCAAATTGGCACGTGTGTTACGTGTGCACCGTGTGACTTTTATATTTTTATCTCCGCACCTTTGATGCAATTACGCGCGTAATTGGCGTGATATATAGTATACTAAGTAGCTCAATATCTTTTCTTTGTTGTTTATAAGATTACAAATTTATAGAATAGTCAATAAATTCAAATTAAACAAAAATCATACATTTCTAGTATAAATAAAAAACAATGTACGAAAAATAATTTTAACATACAGATTTATTATTGACAAATAATTGCAAAAAACGTACCTGCAAGAGGTGGAATGGAAATCGCCCCGATGCTCTGGAACATCCTAACGAGACCATAGCTGGACGATATTTTATCAGTGCCGTATTGATCGGCGAGCAGGACGGGAACTAGGAGAAACCAACAGCCCAGACATAGTCCGTACATGCCAACGGAACACGCCAATACGTAAAAAGAATGAGCCATCGGGATCGCCAGAACCGCCACACCAGCACCCACCACGCTACAAAAAGGGATGTCCGTAAATAATATGCTTCTACTTCTATAATTGTTTATTTAATAAATACCCCGATAAAAATATTTTTCTGAAAATATAACGAAATTTTGCTGAAATGTATTTGGAAATTTCTCTCAATCGACCCCATTAATTAATTTCATAAATATTTTAGCAATTTTTCATTAAAAAGTAACAGTTTTCAGTTTAATTTAATAAATTTCATAATGTCTAATATTTCAAAACTTTTTTATTACTTTTCAGCAGTATATTTTAACTTTCCTTATATTTCATAGTATTACATTAAATTTTCATACGGAAAATTATGATTCATTTTGAAATATATTCAGTAAATTTCAAAAACTTTTATTTTACTTTTCATTGATTTCATAGTACTTTCAGCAAAATATTTCCATCAGGGTATCCATAGAAGATTATAACATATGTCTTCAGGATCCTAAAAAAGACTCAGGATCGAATTTCGCGATTTTTATCCGAATAGCTAAATAGCGCGGTTTATTTAATGATCTTTTCTCGTTTAGATGAACATCGAAGAATTATATATGTATATTATATGTCAAAAAATTACTCACCTTCCGATATACCCTTTCCGTCGGTCAAACAGCTTGAGATCCGACAGCCAGCCAAGGCCGAGTCTGCCGCACAGATCAAGGGCGGCGGAGATGGCCACTAGATAACCGGCTTCCGATTTGGTGTAACCGGCGGCGTGCACGTACGCTGGCAAATAGTACAGCATATACGGGCTGCCGGTGGACATCAGGCTGACGGAAAAGCACATCATGATGAACTGTGGATTCTTCAGCAGCGACAAGTCGAGGTAGCACGTCAACCTCTGCATAAACGTAATTTTAGATTCCGTCGATGCTGTCAGTGTCAAGGACGGCATTCTGCTCGGCGGCGACGGTGGCTGCGGTTGCTGTTGCTGTTCCGGCGGACCCGTCGTCGTCGCAGACGATTTCAATGACCTCAGCGACGATCTAGCGGCCTTGTAAACGCACGTCGAGTCCGTCGACAGATCCTCCACGCTGTGCAGAATGCTGGAGCTGCGAATTTTCGAAATAGGCTTCATACGGAGGCCCTCGCCCATCACGTCCTTTTCTTCGTCGCTGTCCGTCAGCTCGACCGCTACCACGCCGCTGTTTTGATGGAACAGTTCGTTCAACATATTGTGCCGGGCGGTCGGGTCGTTAGCGAACAGAAGATCCAATTTTTGCTGCTTTTTATCTTGATCCTGATAGAGATATGACTGATATAAATCATTATCCGTCATGATTTGTTCGAGCTTACATCAACTAGTCATTAATATCTTTTTGCATGTGAGTGAGAAGAGATCAAAATATTTTCAAGATTGAAGAACATACAATATCTTCATAAATTATTAATAGCACAATTGGAAATATACTTTATGTCAACTTTACCAATTACGGACAATTGAAGGGTTCGTAACAAAAAACCCTTGTCAATTTTTTCATTTTATCAAGAGAAAAAAAAAACATTCTGTCATCCTTAAGTTTTCAATAAAAAACCACTCAAACTTCCTAACAATATAAATCAAGACATGAGAATTATCAACCACACTGTAGGCTCCTTGACTAGTAGAATACGCTATTTCCTTAATTTTTGACAAGGGTTGTTTTTGTTATGAACCCTTCAATTAACTGAATATCGGCAATTTCATGCGGTACAACCTGATACGTATACATATATAAACTGTACCTGTTCCTTTTCTTCCCTCGGCTCAATCTTTTCCAAGATATTTTCTTCAGGTGCATAATTTTCGTCCAGTGGTCGATACAAAGTCGCACTAACACACACGTGCAGCATACAACCACCTAGTAGCAATATCGTGCCGTGGAAACCGAAATCCTTGACTAGGAATTCAATAAGAAGCGGGAACACGAAGCTACCCGCGGCAGTACCGGATACGCAGATCCCGTTCGCTAAAGCACGATGTTTATCGAAGTACTGCGATACTAAAATTATACCCGGTGTTGTGGACAAGCCACCGCCAATACCTGCAAAAATTCTCTTGTATTTTTGTTCATCGATAAATCGCAACATTAATTTCACGATGAAAGTGTTCTAATGGAGAATTAACGTGACGGGAAGAAAAAGATTAAAGTTGAACAAACCTGTCAGCACTCCAAATGTAAAAAAGAGGTGTATCAATCGCGTGGCAAAGTAACTAGTTGTAAGTCCTAGAGCGCAGAAAAGTCCTCCCACAAAAACCACCGTTCGACAACTATACTTCTGGCAAAGCATACTCGTCACCGGAGCTGCAAACAAAACATCATTATTATAACAATATATTTTTTCACTTAAAAATTACAGAATAATGTGTAAGTCTTTTAATGTAATATCTTTTTATTTTTTAATTGTGCAAATTTTTTTCAATTTTTAAACATTGCAAATACTAACGCATATTTTTGTAAAAAAATCATGCCATTTTAACATAATATGTGATATTTGATTATTTTTTTAAGATTTTATTATTCAGACTACATCAAAAGAATCTGATATTTCTTATGCAACAATTCAACAAATCTGTGTAACGAATGAAAAGCGCAATCAATTGACAAGACACTTCAGGTATGTATTCGTGCCGGCAACTTTCGCTCTCGAGCCAATCGATTCTTCGAGAAACGAAGGTCACGGAAACTAAAAAAAAAAATCTGAACAACAACAACGACTCACCGAGTGCTAGACATAGGCACGTTAGAATCGCCGGTATCCATGACGCGACCGCAGCGGATGAGTCCTTGAAGGTCTCCATGACCTCAACGTAGAGCACGCCGTAGGATTTGACCAACCCGGCTACCCAGAACTGCACAAAAAAGGCGCCGAACACCACCACCCATCCGTAACCGCCGTCTAGAGCGACATAGGTGGTGTTCCGGGATTTCCTACTTTCGTTTTTCTGTCGTAATTTTCTTCTTTTCGGCACCGTACATCTGGTAGACCTGAATCGGCTTTTAAAATATTATTTTGAGATGAAAATTCACAGATTACGAAAATAATCAAATATTTGCATCTCCACACACGATTTTACAAATTGGGTAATTTTATAATTCAAAGAAGAAGAATTAGAATCTGCACATTAAAATATGTATTCAACTATCCAGACACAACACGCGTAAGCTTAAAGACATCTGAAAGACGTCCAAAAAATGTCATTCTTTCAGATGTTGCCTGGGTACTTTTAATTTCTCATCTTTTTCGCTATATAAATTTTTAAATTAACAATTCTAAAATGTCAACCGCGTATAAATATGATTCAATGGAAGAATTTCGTCTTTAAACTTCTCATATTCGACAAGAAGATTACGAAGATGGCTTTTGCTTTCTTCACAATTCTTGTTTCTTCAAAAACGTTTTGAAAATCATTGATGCAAAAACGAGATTTGACATGCAATAATCCAATACTTCGATAAACGACGTATACTTTGTTTAATTAAATACGTATAAATCGTGATAAACACGTGCGCAATCGGCGTTCGTGTCTTTTCAGCACCCAATTCGTACACTCTGTGTATTCACACCGACCTGAGCTCCCGCGACTTGGCGATGAGCGGCCGGGCGGTGAGACTGGATATAGTCAGCAGATTGTCGTTGTCCTCGTCTTCGACGGTGCCCTCAGGACTCTGCAAATGCGGTGGTACGATCGGCGTCGACGTCGCCGTTGTCTGCACGGCCAGGGAGGCCGGCCGCTTCGGTGACGGCGCCCCGACGGCGACACTGCCGCTCAGGTCGAACACAGGCGCCGAGTGGATAGAGAATAGCGAGCCCAGTTGCGTCGCCGGTTGATTATTCATGTTCTCGTCGATGATCGCGCTGCCGGCGACGACCATCTCCTGGGACGTTGCCGTCGCGATATCGGCGCCGGCCAGCATGCCCGCCGACGCCCGACATGCGTCCTGGAAACTCCATTCCCGTGGTAGCGACATGTTTCCTCGGTAGCTTCCTTAGCGGAACCGGGGGGACCGTAATACATTGGATTTGTGTTACTTGGTTTGTCACGCGAGGTTTACTTGCTTAGTTTCTCTGGTCGCTTGACGGCTCCTCGAGTCCTTCCCTTTATCTCGCTTTGCCTTCACCTTCGTCTTCTCCACCAGCTAGAGAACAAATTTGTCTCTACCTGGACACCTGGTGTATCTGTCGTAGTGACGCTCTTGCAACCATGCAATCGTGTCTCCTTGCCTCTGATTGTACCCTAAGCCCCTCAATGTGAAGGGCTTTCACGCTTTCTCGATTTGGCTTTCGAAGACCGAACTTGAATAAATTTGAGAAGCGGAAATGTCAAAAATTGACGAGAAGCGTCTTCTCATGTGATATCAGAACACTTCTTTCGATTTTGTCAGACTGGGACTCGGAGCATGAATAGAGTGCGCACGCAGCCTGGTGGAGGGCTGCCACTAACATGAAAATTCACCGTGGGATCGATACATTGGCGATGCTGACGCGTAAAGGCATCTTCTCGGAAATCACTCGCGGCTCACGTGCAAACGCACTGAAGAGGGTAAAACCACGTAACCGTGTATGTAACGAGCGCTGAACAAGCTCCATTCCATAAAATTGGGTTACATGCATATGGAAATGCCAACTTTTTTCTAATAAAAAAGAAAACAATCAAGTCACTCTATTTGATGCGTTTTGTATGTAAAGCGTTAGCAACGAAAGTGTCAGCAACTGGGTGAAGCTTGATTGCACTAAAAAAAAAAATAAAAACTATTTTTGTTAGATAAATAAAACTGGTGCTCTGTGTGTACGCGCGCGTGCATCTTGCAGTATAAAGAATATTGACAACTAAATAAATTCTAAAAACTGTTCTAAAAACAAAAATATTGATGAACAAAAGTAGAAGACACTTTTAAAGGAATCGTATTACTTTATATGATACTTGATCATTAGAAAACATTTACTGCATAAGATTAAAACTCTGAGAATCTAATCTACGTTATAATGTAACGAACAAATTGCATGATTAATGTAGCAAGTATTTTGTCGATTAAAAAATTGAAATTATTAGTGCAATTTTATCGACAATTTCAAATGTATGTTTTAGCAATGCGTTATTCGTTCAGTAAACTTGATATTTTTAAAGCGATCACTAGTCACTTGGAAATTTTGTATACGAAACTTTTTATTAGAAAGCTTCGCATTGCGGTTTAATTTGATTGCCGACGTCGACCTCAGTATTACGTCATCTAGCGTGCGCTTTCTGTCCGCTCAATTACTGTAATTATATCTAGAAAGCAATTGTAAGTTTACGCAAGAATGACTAATTCGAATGTCGCAATTTGTGGCAATCAAATATCATTCAATTGCAGACTAAAAAGATTCAAAATTATTCTGGATAATATTGATTAATTGCCGATTATTTAGTTTAATATGTATTGTTTAATAACTTTGTTGAAAAAAGATCAGTATATTTCTCTCAAAAAACATCAGAATTGCTTATAAAATGAACCTCGTGTGGTAAATAAAGAACTTTACCAGAGTGAATAATGAGAACAATAGGATAATAATAAATATTGAAACATAGCATTGTGCATAGTTTGACCGGGACTGTTTGAATTTGGCGATTCCTTGTGGCGGGAGTAACTTCTACGCGCAGCATCCGATTGGATCAATGACACAAATCTACCAGTACATCCCTCGCGCTCGCGCTCTATCTCGAGGCTCGGCATTAGTACTTGGGTTGTCCCAATGTGCACTTGCTTCGATATACGCATCGGTTTTAATATGTAACAACATTCAATTAGATTCTCGAAGATCCGTCTTTAAAAAATCAAACCAAAAATCAAGATAAAAAGTATATATATATATATATGTATATATAAAGTGTCAAGAGACATACGTAAGTAAACTATTTCAGTTCCAATCAGAGATATATGTACATAAATCGTAACCAAATCTAACAGAATTGTCAATAATAGGAGTTGCAATTGATCTGCTTTTGTTTTTTACTCTCTTTTGCATAGAAGAATTTTATTTTTATTATATAATATTCTACGAGAAGTTCTTTGATTTTTGACGTAAGGTCGATTTTTGGAAAATTTCTTACAGATTAAACTTTCTAAAAATATAACTCAGAAAAGGTTGAAAATTGTGATTGTTGAAGAGAAATATAATATTTGAAATTTATTTATTTTAATATAAAAAATTATTTTAAAAATTGTTGGCTAACATTTTGATGTTTTACGTCAATGTCTTATTTTGAAATATGTGTTTGTGTAATTCCAAAAATTAATTTGACTTAAATTTAATAACATATTAAAATACACCTAGCTGATTCAATCGTAAACTAAATGTGTACAAATAAAATATGCACATATATCACATATAATGGGATTAAAATGGTGTTTTGTTTGGATACAAAAATACGCTTCCGTCACGAAACAGGGCGGAGGCTGCTTATCCCAGAAAAGGATATCAATTTCATCGATATTCCATTAATCCTTTAAGCAATAAAGCAGACTTAATGAAAAAAAATTATTTATAATTAAACATTAAACTCTTTTATATATTGCAATGAATAACATTACGTGTCATAATTTATGTTTCAAAAATAAAATCCGATCTTGAATTTAACATAAACCGATTAATACAAGTAAATCAAACGTATTAAAACAAAAAGTTAATATATTATTAGCTAATTGATTATTTTTGATAATTATTTGTTATTTGATATTGTTAACAATTACATGATAATTTGATTCAAAGAAACAAATTTAACATTAATTAATATCCCAATAATAGTGTTATACTTATTAATAAAATACTCAGTATTTAATTGTTGCAAAAAATATATAGCATTTCGTTGGGATCTCACTTATTGTCAGTCTCTGAACAATTTTCCAATCCCAATCGTCGAAAAATTAATAATATGATGATTTATTTCATGGATTTGTTGACAAGGTAGCTGCACAATGACGAGCTTGCACGTGTGGGCTGTGCTATTATTTATCTTCATTGTCCTGCATGATGCTCCACGTCTAGGACTTGCCACTGCCAGATCGATGAATTACAATAATCCAAGATTTTTTAAGATCGGTGGTGTTCTCTCAAATGACGATAGTAAAAGTCACTTCGAAAAGACGATTGATGTAAGAGAACAATTATTAAGTTGAAAGTAGTAAAAAGTTTGTAGAAAAATTACCACAAGAAAATTTTACTTATACCAATTAGTATTTTTTTACATTACTATGTTGGCTAAAAATTTTCAATTTATCGCACAGATTAAAATCTGATTTTTATTTCTTTATATAAGCAAATAATAAATACATTATATATATATATATAT